CATCTGGCAGACGGGTCCAACATTAGTTCGGGCCCAGTCACGCAGGAAACAACACCAATTCCAGTTACTCTGGCTCCAGGACACCTTGAACTTCTCCGTCTAGATGTAATCTCCTCCCCACTTTTTCCCATCATCCTGGGCTTACCGTGGTTAAAGGCACACAATCCGCTGGTGAATTGGGAGACGGGTGAAATCCAGTTTGTATCTGACTACTGTAGACAGAATTGCTTACCTTCCGCCCCTGCAAATTGTGTAGCAGTTTGTCAACAGGAGACCTGTCCGGAACTATATCAGGCTATTCCTCCCCAGTGCCACGATTTCTTGAATGTTTTCGATAAACAAAAAGCAGACGTTCTTCCCCCACATCGTTCCTATGACTGTCGCATAGAACTTTTACCTGGGGCAAAGATTCCCTATGGGCGTATTTACCCCTTGTCCGAACCAGAACTAGAAGTATTGAAGGAGTACATTGCAGAAAACCTAAGAAAGGGGTTTATCCGTCCATCCACCTCTCCGGCGGGAGCAGGGATATTTTTTGTGGAGAAGAAGGATCACACGCTTCGCCCATGTATTGACTATAGAGAGTTAAACCAAATAACAGTCAAAAACCGATATCCTCTTCCACTCATTCCTGAATTGTTTCAAAGGCTGCGAAGTGCTACTATCTTCACCAAACTTGATCTCAGGGGAGCCTATAACCTTGTCAGAATTCGGGAGGGAGACGAGTGGAAGACCGCTTTTCGCACCCGTTTTGGACACTATGAATATCTAGTTATGCCATTTGGGCTCTGCAATGCCCCAGCCATCTTTCAACACCTAATCAATGATGTTTTTCGGGACTTTTTGGATCAATTCGTAATGGTATATCTAGACGATATTCTTATTTTTTCTCCCTCTCCGGAGCAGCACCATAAACAGGTGAGATTAGTCCTGGCCAGACTTAGAAGCTTTGGATTGTTTGCAAAGGCCGAAAAGTGTGAATTTGAATGACAATTCAATTCCTGGGATTCGTGATTTCCTCTACAGGTATCGCGATGGATCCATAAAAAGTATCCACAGTTCTGGAGTGTCCAGCACCTGTCGACAAGAAAGGAGTTCAGCGTTTCAGAGGCTTTGCTAATTTTTACAGAAAATTCATTAAAAAATTTCCGGGTATAATTTCACCAATTACTTACCTTACCAGGACTCAGACTCGCTTCCAGTGGTCCCACTACAGAAAATTCATTTAAAAATGTTCAGGTATAATTTCACCAATTACTTACTTACCTTACCAGGACTCAGACTCGCTTCCAGTGGTCCCCTGCAGCTCAACATGCCTTCACTGAGTTGAAGACTCTATTCACATCAGCACCCATTCTGAGACATCCGGTGCCCACACTACCATTCGTCCTGGAAGTGGACGCATTGGAAAATGCGGCAGGCGCAGTGCTCTCCCAAAGACAAGGTCCAAAATCCTTACTACATCCGGTAGCGTTTTTTTCTCGCAAACTTAGCCCTGCGGAAAGGAATTATAGTGTGGGGGACCGAGAATTGCTCACAATCAAACTGGCGTTAGAGGAATGGCGTTACCTTATGGAGGGGGCTGCGCAACCTATTTTTATTTTTACAGATCACAAGAACTTGGAATATGCAGGTCTGCTAAGCGTTTAAATCCTCTACAGGCAAGATGGGCGTTGTTCTTTTCTAGATTCAACTTCAACATTACTTATCGCCCGGGATCTAAGAATGTGAAACCTGACGCCCTGTCTCGTATTTATCCCGAAACTGGATTTACAGCCGAACCTGATACAATCTTGCAAGCTGGTAATTTTTTGCTAGTCCAAGAAGGACGTCCCCAACTTTTTTCCTGATCGGGCTGCTACGGCTCCGGAACCTGTTCTTGTGGATGGTGAGAAGGAGTTCGAAGTGGAGACTATTGTAGACTGCAGGATCTTCCACTTGATTCTTGATCAAGTGGAAGGGGTATGGAGCAGAAGATAATTCTTGGGAACCAGAGTCTAACGTTTGAATTGTTACGGGACTTTTTTCTGAACCATCCTGACAAGAGGCCTGTAATGGGCATCTGGAGGCTGCCCCTTGGGAGGGGGCAATGTCAGAAAGCCAGAGCCAGAGTTCGAGTGTCGCCGTCTGCGCATGCGCAGGCGCCTGTTGTGAACCATAGAGCCATAATAGGAGCAGCGTCTTTGCAAGGACGTGCACACGTACGTGCGTGTCACGCTCACGTTCGTGCGCGTGTTTGTGCGCAAGGGCACGCGCCGACGTGTCATTTGAACAATTGGCGCCAACTGGGCTATAAAGGCTGTGTTCAGCTATCCTCCTATGCTGTCAGATCGTCAGCTTCCTGTGTTCTGTGTTCCTGTGTTTTCTGTATCCTGATTACCCATTACTGACCCTGCTTGGACTACTCTCTGTTGTTGCTTGCTCCCTGAAGACCCCGGCTTGTTTTTGACCTTGAATCTGCCTCACCCCTTTTACTGCGTTGCTGGCTCATTGATGACCTTGGCCTGCTCGACGATCCTTCTGCCTTGTGTGTTCTGCTTCCAGCTTCCTCAGCTCATCGGATCTAAAGCCTTCTGGATCCTCTTTGGTGCATGCGCATCATGCTTCCTGCCCGGATCTACGCACTTTTATCTCATCTCGCAGACGCAACAGGCTAACCAGCCTCTGGCACCCTTCGAGGGCGCCAATCGAGGTGCTCCGGGACCGGAGCTGTGAGAGAGGCTGCCCTCGTCAACTCAGACTCCCCTAAGGTACGTGATACCTTTTCTCCAGTAGTTCCGGAGCGTTCACATATCCTGACCATCATTTTTTGTACTTTGTTGCCCGTAGTTAAGATGATAGTTTAAGAAGGTTATTTGTCATATGTTCACTGCGTGCTACTCCTGGGCTTGCACAGTTTGTACACAGGCATAGCAACTATGTGCAGTTGTATCTTTTATTTTCCCCAATTTCCCAGAGGCAGGGCATATATCCAGAATTCAAATGCTGTGTCGCCCAATGAGAGAACATCATTTTATAGTGAATACGAAAATCTATTATTGGTAAAATAAAAAAATAATTTATATTCCAACCCCACCACTTACCCATACAAAGGAGGAGGAGATATTGAAAATCAGATGGAAAAGCAATCTCTGTACACCATATGAAGGTCCATCTCCATTCCTCAATATAACATCATGTGACCAACAAATGAGGAGGAGATACTGTACACCATATGAAGATCCATCTCCATTCCACAATATAACGTCATGTCCCCAACAAATGAGGAGATACTGTACACCATATGATGGTCCATCTACATTCCTCAATATAACGTCATGTCCCCAACACATGAGGAGGAGATACTGTACACCATATGAAGGTCCATCTCCATTCCTCAATATAACGTCATGTGACCAACAAATGAGGAGGAGATACTGTACACCATATGAAGGTCCATCTCCATTCCTCAATATAACGTCATGTGACCAACAAATGAGGAGGAGATACTGTACACCATATGAAGGTCCATCTCTCTTATTCTCCATAGCCGTGATTAATTCACAAAACTATTTTGCCCAGTGTGTCAGAGTTGTTTTGGGTGTTTTATCCTTTAACTCATTTGTTTGTACAAGTCGTGTTACGTTGTACCCAATTCCATGCCAGAGCTCTGTGATGACTTCTAGACCAACATACATGACTCTGATTACTGACGTGTGTAATAATTTCTCTCCAGCAGATGGATGTGATGTCAGCAATACCTCGGAGAGACATCTTATATTATCTGCCGATTGTAAGTCAGAAGATAATGTCATCACACAGGATTCTCCAGGAGTGAATCCAAACACACAAAATATACATCACACACCTTCCTGTTTGGAGACATCAATGGATCCCTCTGATCAGGGTGAATCTTCTGACCATTCACATACTATGACTGGAAATATCCATCTAAGATCTCACACTGCAAGAGATCCATCTAATCCCAAGGAACCTTCCTCCCCCCATGAAGGAGATCACAGAGGTGAAAATCTTTTCTCACATGCAGTGTGTGGGAAATCTTTAATTGAAAACAAAAACCTTCTTAGACACCAAAGTATGAACATGGATGAGCGAACCTATTCATGTTCAGAGTGTGGAAAATGTTTCATTCGCAAAGCAGTCCTTCTTAAACACCAGAAGATTCACACAGGTGAACGTTCTTATGCATGTTCAGAGTGCGGGAAATCATTCATTCAAAAAGGAGACTTTGTTATACACCAGAAAATTCACACAGGTGAGCGTCCTTATGCATGTTCAGAGTGCGGGAAGTCATTCACTCGTAAAGGAGCCCTTGTTATACACCAGAGAAGTCACACGGGTGAGCGTCCTTATTCATGTTCAGAGTGCGGGAAGTCATTCACTCGTAAAGGAGCCCTTGTTATACACCAGAGAAGTCACACGGGTGAGCGTCCTTATTCATGTTCAGAGTGCGGGAAGTCATTCACTCGTAAAGGAGCCCTTGTTATACACCAGAGAAGTCACACGGGTGAGCGTCCTTATTCATGTTCAGAGTGCGGGAAGTCATTCACTCGTAAAGGAGCCCTTGTTATACACCAGAGAAGTCACACGGGTGAGCGTCCTTATTCATGTTCAGAGTGCGGGAAGTCATTCACTCGTAAAGGAGCCCTTGTTATACACCAGAGAAGTCACACGGGTGAGCGTCCTTATTCATGTTCAGAGTGCGGGAAATCTTTCACTCAGAAAGGACACCTTGTAGGCCACCTGAGAATTCACACTGGTGAGAGTCCTTTTTCTTGTTCAGAGTGCGGGAAATCATTCATTCATAAAGGAGACCTTGTTCACCACATGAGAATTCACACTGGTGAGAGTCCTTTTTCTTGTTCAGAGTGCGGGAAATCTTTCACTGATAAAAGAGTCCTTAATAGACACAAAAGAATTCACACGGGTGAGCGTCCTTATTCATGTTCAGAGTGCGGGAAATCTTTCACTCAGAAAACATACCTTATTCTACACCAGAGAATTCACACTGATGAGCTTCCTTATTCATGTTCAGAGTGCGGGAAATCTTTCAATCAGAAAGGAACCCTTGTTACCCACCATAAAATTCACACTGGTGAGCGTCCCTACTCGTGTTCAGAGTGCGGTAAAACATTTACTGAGAAAAGAACCCTTGTTAACCACCATAAAATTCACACAGGTGAGCGTCCTTATTCATGTTCAGACTACAGCAAATCTTCCACCGAGAAACAAACTGCGGAGTGTCCTCACTGACTGCGGGAAAAGAAGATAAATAGACAGCGCCAGCTGGTTCTTATGACAAATGTACGATGACTTTTAGAATTGATGGAGGAAGCTGGTTGTCCCACCCTGCCTCCCTCCCCAAATTTTGTGGTTCTGCTGGTTGCAGGGTTCTTTTTCTGTCCCGGCGGGTTAGGGTTTTTTTGGGGGGGTCTAAAAAAATTCAGAAACAATTACACAAATGGGGGGCCATTGGCTAGTATAGGTGCGTCCCCCCGCTGGAGTAAGAACTTGTTGGGGGTGGGCCTGGCCCCTTGGAACGTGGGAGTAGTAATTGCCCTCGAGCTGGTCCTGGTGCGGCTGAGGACATGGGAGCAGTTTTTTAGGAGAGGCCTTATTTGGGCTGTTGGGCACACAAAGACCCCCTTCTCAGGTCAACAGTCGTTTAGAGTATCTAGTTGTATATTATTTAGTTTATTACTTTTGGTTATTGTTAAAATTGGTTTGTTTAATAAAAGGGCTGCTGTGGCCATTAAAATCCATGTTGCGCAGTCTGTGTGTTTATTGGGGTTGTAACAGAGGGACGAAATCGACGAATCCATCAGTCAATCATTGTCATTGTCATGTGTCACATGCATTGTGATGGGTCTTTAAATATTGTATGTGTTTCATCTGTCCCCGGTGTTCCTCTCCTCCGCTCCCCATAGCTCAGTGTTCCTCTGTATAGATAGCTCCTCCCTTCCTCATTCTGGTCCAGTTTACATCTCAGCCCCGTGTCATTTCGTTGAGTGGATCACATTATGATCTTTTGACCTCTTCGATGTTCACTGTTATAAGATCCTCACAGTTTTGGTTTATACTTCTCAGAGATCTTCAAGGTGTCCTCTGGATGGAGTCACTGCCTGCCAACGCAGCTAAGAATGTAGGTTGTCGCTATCTCGCCACAACTGTAAGCTATAGAGATCACACTTTCAATGCTTAGATTGGAGAGGCAGAACAGTCTAGTAACATGACAGGTGACAGAGGCGTGATGTTTCGGTGACACCCATAGAAGGCTGTTGATCTAATTTGCGGAACACAAATATGCCTGAACAGGAACTCAGAGGGGCATCCACCGAGCAGGGTGTCAAAGAGATATCTGGTCAAGCTGCGCTGCATGATAGTAATTGTGAAAGAGTGGGAGGCTAAGGTCACCTTGAATTTTTACAGATGCAGACCAGAAGGACTCGGGCAAAATTTTGGCAACAAATGTTTACCCCTGGTGTCCTGCTAAGACAAGTTTCCCAAATTCTTCCCAAGAAGAGAGGAGCAAAAAGCGACATATATTTTTCCAGATACAGATTGTGGTAAGAGGGAGTTACAGAGACACTTAGGTAAGGCAAGGATTTGGATGCCCAGCTAGATGCAAAAGAGATGAGAAGGAATTCCATCATTTGTGGGGTTAAAGAAATTCCTGTAGGCTGCAACTTTGAGATATGACAAATCTTGTAATATGACCCCGCCTCCAATTCAGATATTTGTATTGAATGGCTTTAGCCAAAGGATCAGAATGTAGTGTGGATGGCGGGGGGAGAGATGTCAGAATGTAGTGTGGATGGTGGGGGAGAGCTGTCAGATAATGTAGTGTGGATGGGGGGGGAGAGCCCACCATCCACACCATCCACCATCCATAGAAGGGCGACTGACCTGTGGAACCATGGATGGCATTAATGTAGGCAAACTCAGCGCAGGGAAGGAGAGATGCCCAATAATCCTGTACAAAAGAGAAACAACGTAGATATTGTACAAGCGTCTGATTGGTACGCTCAGTCTGGCCATTGGTTTGGGGTTGATATGCCGATGAGTAGCGGGTCTCGATTCCCAATGCCTGGCATAACTCCCTCCAGAATTTGGAGGTGAATTGGACCCCACGGTCTGACACAATACTGTTGGGGACTCCAGGTAGGCGGACGATCTCCTTGATAAAGGTCCGGGCAGTTTCCGGGGCATAAGGGGTGCCGACCAGTGGAACAAAGTGGGCCATCTTTGTAAGGCGATCCACGACCACAAAGATGCAGGAGAACCCATCAGAGGGTGGTAGTTCGACAATGAAGTCCATGGCGATCATCTCCCAAGGGCGAGAGGGAACAGGTAAAGGGCGCAGGAGCCCCCAGGACTTCTTTCTGTCCGTCTTGCTTCTGTTACAGACCCGGCAAGAGTTGATATATGCCTGACAGTCCGTCTTCAGGGTAGGCCACCAGAAGGAGCGTCTTAGTAGATCCACAGTCTTGGTTACTCCAAAATGGCCCGACAGGAGACTGTCATGGCAGATCTAATCCCAGATAACACCTCCCCCATGAGCATAACGAAGTTGTGGGCTGGAAGGACTGTATCCACTGTTGGTGGGTGGTCGACTGTAGGGAACATTCGAGACAGGGCATCCGGTTTGCCGTTCTTGGATCCCGGTCTGTATGTGATGTGCATGTTGAACCGAGTGAAGAAGAGGAAAGTTAATGGTTTAAAAGCGCCAAGGACAATCCTTATCCCTCCTGGG